CATGCCAGTAAAATGTAAAATTAAAGCTCTGTTTTGGAGGCTGATCCATGCAGATAAGAGTCTGTGGCTGTTAACTAATAACTACAAGAGGGGCAGTGATAAAGGCGACATACTTGAGGACAGGAATTCACAGGTTTGTTCATACTTAACCCCATTTGGACATTTTTTTCCCACATTAGAGATTAACAGCTCAGATATTCTCGTGTTTTCTACTTCCCTGATCGTGAGCAACATGGTAAGGCCGTTGGAGACGTTAACATGTGTCATGCAGAAACATGACAGGTCCTTGCTTTTGTAAAGAAAACAGGAGAGGTTTTGTGGCACTGCCTGTGAACCCAAAGGATGATGCTTGGGATTTGTAGCAGTCACACTGGTGTCCTGGACGTTGTGCCTCATACCATGACTGCCTTTGCAGTCCGAACAGCACCTGGATCTTCACAGCATCCCTCTCGCCTCGGGATTATGTTCTCTGATATGCTGCTAGGACTCTGCAGCATGCTGCATGCATGCTGACATTGGGAGGACTGACTGTCCTGATGGGCACAGGGACATGCACGTGGGAGGCCAAGTACCCCCTGGGAATACCTTCAGCAGTAACCAGGGAGCCTGCTCTGCTTATGCTTGCTTACATAGTGCTTCACATCATCTGCAATCTTCAGAGGGTCTTCATATTTAGGTGTTAGAACAAACACAACTATAAAAATTGCAAAAAAAAAATCTCCTAAAACAATGAGGTGGAGGGAGTGAAAAGTGCAGAATGTGAACTAGACTCTTGAGTTGTGGAGAACTAAAGGGGGGGGGGGGAGAAAGGACAAGAAAGAGAAACTAAGGGGCAGTGAAATTAGGGAAAATAAAGCAGCTTTCAATACATCGGAAGCTAAGAGAGTCCTAAAATCACAGTCACCTCCCGATGCCTGGAACTGGAGAAGTATTGAATCTTTCTTTCCTGTAGCTGGCAGAAAAGCTGGATGATGGTACTAGTTACAGCAGCAGTGTAATTGTAGTGGTGGCTTGGGAAGTTACTGAACAGCAGCTACTACAGCAGTACATTTTTAAGTTTGCTGCTAGGGCTAACTTGCACCCAGAGGTTTTAAAAGGCATGGCTGAGCAGCACTCTTGGGGCCATAAATACTGATTTATTTTTTCTTTTAAAAAAAGTATACACAGTGAGATAGATTGAAAAAAATGTGTGTTAGTCATAAACAAGTAAACTAGGATCGTCTCATCTGGGCAAACTAGAATACTGGGCTACCTGCAGTCTGATGTTGGCTTCCTGTAAAGTAATGTAATAGCTGATAGGGATTGGATTGGTCATGATTTAAGGGTTTGTTAATTGTAATAATCGGTCTGTACAGATTTTTCTAAAATGGGTCTTTTCTAACATCGTGTGATTTTCTGTTGTAATTTTGCTTGATAAAGGTAGAAGTGTTGGTATGTTGTGTGTGTTTAATGCATTGAAATTGTGCCACAGGTTATTAGAATAAGCAGCTATAATCAGAGGAGAGCCACAAAAATGATCAGGGGGCTGGAACACCTCTCCTACAAGGCCAGGCTGAGAGAATTGGGGTTGTTCAGCCTGGGGAAGAGAAAGCTTTGGGGAGACCTTATAGTGGCCTTCCAGTACTTAAAGGGGGCTTGTAAGAAAGATGGGGACAGGCTTTTTAGTAGGGCCCATGATGATGGGGCAAGGGGTAACGGTTTTAAATTAAAAGAGGGTAGATTCAGACTAGATGTAAGGGAAGAATTTTTTTCTTATGAGGGTGGTGAAACACTGGCACAGGTTGTCCAGAGAGTTGGTAGATACCCCCTCCCTGGAAACATTCAAGGTCAGGTTGGAGGGGGCTCTGAGAAACCTGACCCAGTTGAAGATGTCCCTGCTCATTGCACAGGGGGGGGACTAGGTGACCTTTAGAGGTCCCTTCCAACCCAAACTATTCTGTGAATAAACGAAAACCTGACTAAATGAAAGGTCACAGTGTGACAAGGAGAGCCATTGCTCATAGTGTATTTCTAATAGTGGCAGCTGGGAATTGGTGTTTTGGCTTGATGCTAATCAAGAGGTGGGTGTCAGTCTCTTCAAAGTAACAAGGGATAAGACGAGGGGAAATAGCCTCAAGTTGTGCTAGGGAGGTTTAGATTTGGTATTAGGAAAAAATTATTCACTGAAAGGTTATCAAGCATTAGAAGAGACTGTCCAGGGAAGTGGTTGAGTCACTAGCCTTGGAGGTATTTAAAAGATGTGTAGATGTGGCACTTAGGGACATGGTTTAGTGGTGGACTGGGCATAGAGTTACAGTTGGATTCTAAAGGTCTTTTCCCGCCTAAATGGTTCTGTGGTTCTGAGTTTGTCGATGTTGTGGAAGAAAACAGAAAGTTAATTTGGATTACATTTGTGAGCAACACAAAGTCTGGGCAAGTTGCAAGTAATGAAAAGAGACAAGTTATTATTGGTGGAGTTGTGATCGCATGTATGCTGGGTGAGACAACAAGGAGTTGTGTGAATGTCTTAAAAAGCAGGCACCTTGTCGCAGAGCAGGCAGCAGGGCTGGTGGGAGGCCTGCGGTGGCCTGGGAGCTGTTGCAGGATCTAGGGCTCTTATGGTGGTGGTTCATTGAACACAAAACCCCAGCTGGGCACTGTGGCCAGAAAGTAAATGAGGTACTTGGATGCACATATGGAAATCCTGAGCAGGGGCAGGGAGGGTTATTATCTTGGTGCAAGGTGCTACTCCCATCAGTACAGGAGTGCTGTGGCCCACGCTGCACAGGAATGTTGCTGATAAGGTGGAGGGAGTTCAGGGAGGACCATGAGAGGGAAGGGCGGCAAAATGTGCTGTACAGTAAAATGAGGAGTTCTCTATGTAAAATAAACACTGGATTTCTTTAGGTTTTTTTTTTTCCTCTTGTCAGAGGTACGCTGTAGTTTAACCAGCAGTTCACTGAAGGAAGGTCAGACTGTGCCATCACAGGGTCTCTCCCGCTCCGTAACGGAGGAGTCTCCGTGAGGGAAGAGTGGGAAAAGAAGAGCCATTGTCTTTTCAGAAACAGATGTCTGTATCTCTTATTATCGAAGCCTTGGGGATCGTGGGTGTTTTAACTCCAGGTGCCCTGTCTGCCAGGCTTCCAAATCGGGTGGGTTTTCTGACCGAGATCATCTGCCTCACAGTGAGCACCCACCTCTCCTGTGCCACCATAGCCCCTACAGCTAACCAGTTCTGGGGGTAGCACCTGCCTCTTCTTGGTTTTTAAGATTTTCCCCCTCCCCCAGCTGCTGTTTTTTCCCTCCTGAGCTGCTTTACTGCAGACTTTGCAGAAAATATTTTTTCCTGTCCTCTAGGAAGGGCAGGTAGCCCCTGCCTGCAGCACCGGCTGGTGCATGGGGATGGGACTGGAGAGCTTCCCTCTCACTCCGGGGAGCATGGACCGGGGGCTCAGCCTGCCAAAATAATGAGCCCCTCCTTGCCCTTAGTATCGCTTTCCTTCTGACTGGCTGAGGTAATTCTGAAAGAAAATGTGTCTTGTTTTAGGCATCTTGTAAAGGCTTGAAAGTGCGTGTGTTTGCATGTATCTAGTTGTACTTATGCTGAGGCCTTGCTTTCAGAGCACTATATGAATATTAACTACTGCTTCCTTGATACAGGCTCGATAAAGGTCTTTCAGGCTGCACATTGGCATGTGAGAGGTTGGGCTGGAAAAATTAATCATTTGTCACCTGGCACAGAGAGGAGCCACCAAGGCTGGGAATAGCATTCCTTCTTGCTGTGAAGAGGGCACAAATGCAGACCAGACCTCCGTGGTTTTCAGTCCTGTACAAGCACATGTGGAATAAGAAAAATTCCTGGCTTCAGGGGTTTGTGGCCTCAGAACACAAATTTCAGGATACCCAGAGCCGAGTCGTGGTGGGGTTGGGCTCTTCCACCAGCTCTCCTGACATATCAGCTGCTGAGGCCCCTCCGAGTATGCAGCATAGCAGAGTGTGCCATCGGGCAGCAAACGGGGACAGGGGGATCACAGGGGACTTTGGGAGGAGCAGCTGTGAAGTCTGTCTGATCAGCTGTGGTGCCTGAAAGCAGCCAGTTTGTGTGCCTTGGAGGAATACAAATGCAGTGAAGAGATGAGCGGCGGTCTGCTTTATTCCTTGTCTCAAGCTGGGATGCCCTGAAGCTTAGTGGCCCTTCCAAAAATCTTAATATTAATTAAACCAGTTCCAAATATCACTTGCTTTATCAATTATTTTCTCTTCAGTACCATCCTATGATGGGGGGAGGAGGGAAGTGTTACCATTTTGAAGCTTGCTGTCCTTAGACATGATTAAGTGGTTCCTGGCTCTTGCGTTGTGCTGAGAGAAGCATTTTCACCGCAGTGGCTTGCATACCAGAAGGGTGGTGATAGCTCAGCTCTGGTCGTTGCAAGGCATAGGAATATCAAGAGCATGACTTGTGCAGTTTGGTGGAGTCTGGCAAGGCACTGTAGGCACTTACCCATTTGCCAGAGGTGTCTGGAGCACATGGAAAACTCCATCTGCAGGGATGTAGTACAACACGGTCTGTTCCCAGATGAATGCTGGCATATGTTATATTTGAAAATGGATCCTGATTCATGTCACGACCTGCATTCCTTTTTCTTGTCATTCTGTCCCCAAAGACCTCCTCTGAGGTAGTGGTGCTCTGTGTTTCCATAACACATCCCACCCATCAGTCTTAAGTTCCATGTGCAACATCTTTAATTGGTGCTGTGGAGCATACTTCGGATTCCCTGTGCTTAGATTGCTCTGTGGTGTCTCACGCTCTTCACTTGACCTGAGACCGAACTGCTTTTTCCTCCCCAGCGCGGGAAGGGGTTTCTACCTACATTCACACGTAGGTGCCCCAGCATGTGATGGTGATTCTTGGTGCCAAGAGGGAGCCTGGTCTGCTGGCTGTGTCCTGGCCTGGGGGAGGAAGGTTGTGATTTCCTGGCCACTCATTTTTTCTCCTCCCTTCCTTCATTCTTTTTCAGAACATGAGTGAAAACTTGAAAGACTGTTTGATCCAGACCCAGGCTTCCTTAGGGGAGATGGTGACGATAAAAACAGAGGCCTGCTCTCCGCACCGGGACCAGGAGTATGGACAGCCTTGGTATGCAGCTGAGCTTCAGTCCAATGTACTCTAACTCCGTTCCCTCCACCTCCCCCCCAGCTTAAATATCGTTTTGAAGGGATAAACTTGAACTTCTCAGAGTTATTAAAACCCTCCTTTGTGAGGTCTGCCTTGAGGTGTATGACAGGGGCGGTCAGCCTCTCACGTGATAGGTACGTGCCTGCTCTGTATTCTAGTTCGCATCAGGCCCTGCGGTGCCGGCGTGCGTTGGGGGTGATGCCTTGCCTTTGAGCAGCATGTTTCCCAGGCCATAGCAGAGCAGCGCTGCCTGTCTGCTGGTGGAAGTCCTATCTGCCACTCTTCTGCCCAGTGTGGGACGTGTCAGGTGTGTGCCATGTGTGGAGGTGCTTGGCTGAAGCCACTACCTGCTGTAGTCTTTAGCCTTAAGCCATCTCCCATACCAGCTTCTGGCGGGTGGGATGGCAAGTCGACGCGTTTCTCTGCTGTAGCTGTGGGGACTAAGAGAGCTGGTCAGGCCCCATTGCCTCTTCCCCCTCACCATGTGCAGTCCCAATGTCTTGGTAGGTTAACATCATCTTTCTGTTGTTCCCTCCCCAGCTCTGGAAGGCCTGACCCCCAGTCCATGGAGGTGGAGCCCAAGAAACTGAAAGGGAAACGGGATTTGATCATGACCAAGAGCTTTCAGCAAGTGGATTTCTGGTGTAAGTGTCTTGTGAGTGAGGGAAAAGCAACACCATCGCTTGTATGGACTTTGGTGTTTCCTAGTCAGCACCCTGCCGGTTTGGGGTGAGAAGTAGGGAAGAAGAAAGCTAGGGACAAAGCTCTCCTGAAAAGACCAGCACTTTTTGTAGGGAAGCTGTTACATGGAAGCAACTTGTCCACTGTGGGGCTTTGCAGCAGTATGGAGGTTGGTGGAAGGTGTGCTGGAAAGATGAAAACGCACGTGGGAAAACCCCAAGAGTCTGTAAAACCTAAAGGCTTGCATTCAGAAACCACAAAGGCAGTGTTGCACAGACAACAACTCTTTCTGGGAAAGAAAACTAGTGCCATTTACATTGGCATGCCTACCAAATATCAAATTGTAGGCCTGAGTCCCTCTCTGGCCACAGGGCCGGTGCCTGGGGAGATCTGTCTTTCTCCCAAGCACAGAATGAAGGCTGTATGATGAGGGTATTTGTTTTCAGGGATGTTTGTTTTAGTCCCTCTCTGGTGTGTGGGGAAAAAAACCTTTCAGCTTGATGACATTGCTGCTAACCGGGGATGTGCAAGGAGCCCCCACGCTCTGTCTCTGCAGACATGATGGGGCCTTTCTCTGTGCATGGAGCATGGTGGCAAATCTGTGTAGGGCACCAGGGCTTGCAACAGTGCTGCGTTGGTCAGGCAGGCAGAGCCCTTGCTGAGAGATGTACGGTGACACGAGTGAGCAGCTGGTGAAGTGTCTGTGTACGTGGAGGCCCAGCTTTGGGGAGAGGGCTCAGCTGGGCCAGGGAGAGGACGGGGAGCTGGGGTGTGCTGGCCTGAGCGCTGCGTGTCCTGTGAGCTGCATGAGCCTGTATGGGCATCCCGTCTGCCCAGCCTAACCTCTGCTCCCCTCACACCCACAGTCTGCGAGTCCTGCCAGGAGTACTTCGTGGATGAGTGCCCAAACCACGGTCCCCCAGTGTTCGTGTCTGACACCCCAGTGCCCGTTGGCATCCCTGACCGGGCAGCGCTGACCATTCCGCCTGGAATGGAGGTGGTGAAAGAGCCCAACGGGGAGAACGACGTGCGCTGCATGAACGAGGTGATCCCCAAAGGTCACATCTTCGGGCCATACGAGGGGCAGATCTCTAGCCAGGACAAGTCTGCAGGATTCTTTTCGTGGCTGGTGAGTGACGTATCTCCTCAACGAAGTGACACCTCAGCCTTGCAGCTCAGAGCTGAGGGACTTGTGGGCCTGTGGAGCCAGACCTTAGCCATCTTAACCCTTTCTCTGACAATCTTCTGCCAGTTCACACAGGTATTAGGCAAACATAGACCTGCCATAATTACTAGCAGCTTAAGGGTATAGATATGTGAAGGGAGACCGGGTACCATAGCACATGACTTCAGTTCATGGCTGTAGGAAGCAGAGCTTGCTTCTCCTCTCCTCCTTGCCATGTTCTTCCATCCCCACTCAGTCTCTAGGACTCCTCCAGTACCTTTCTCTTCTCTGGTCGTCATTTTGAGGCTAGAGGAAGGGTTGTGCCTAGAGATTGCACAGCTCTTTCATGGGCCTGCAGCAGTCCTTCTCGGCTCACTTGAGCAGACCAGTGGCCCAAGGGGGCCAGGAAAGAGGAGATTCAGTCCATCAGGAGCTGATCTACATGCAGACTTCAGCACCAAAACCTGTATTTTTTTCCACTAGTACTACAGGCCTTGGTTAGCCTATGAGATAGAGATGTCACTAGATCAATGGACATTAATTATTGTGAGAAATGAAATGTGGGACTTGTGTTATAGGTGGGAAAAAAATTGAGAGCTGCTAATACAAAATGCTGCTCACACTTTTCTGTCTGTGTGTCTCAGTCCTGTCCTGAAAGGGAAGTTAATCTTTTATATCTCAGCACTGTTAACAGTTTCGTCGGCTGTATCCGTAGTTCTGTGTTACAGGTATTTGTACATAGGGAAACGACTCTTAGTCGGGTCAGAGTAGCCTCCACACACATACCCAGGGCAGCAGTCTGTAGTACTAGAAGAGCAGAAATTCATGGCATAGTTTCACATCCTGACTTAAGGCTGGAACTGAAGCAGTGATTTGAGAGTCGTAGACCTTCTCCTGTCTGGACCAGATAGTTGATGCGCTGCATCTGTTCTCTTGTTCCGCAGATCGTTGATAAGAACAACCGCTACAAATCCATCGATGGGACGGATGAAACCAAAGCAAACTGGATGAGGTGAGTCCAGCTCTCTTCTGCCTTCCCTTTTGGGGCTCTGTATTCCAGAGAGAGGCCATCAAACACTCCTTGTTTTGTGTGACAGAAAAACAAACCAGAATGCCACAACCCCTTCTGTAAAGGCTGTGCTTGTGCTCTTTTAGTATTTATTGTAATGAGAATCCTTTGGAGTTAGATTCAGTGAAAGGGACTAAAACAAGAATATGTGTATGGAGGATGCCTGTTTTCTGGAATGAGGACAAATGATAAAGATGATTCTATTTATCCACACTGACAAACACTTGACAGTTCTCACTCTATTTTTTAATTATTTTTTTTCCTTTACATTCAAATACTTGCAAAATGCTTTGCATTATACCCAAGGTAACATTTGATTCTGTTAGGGGTTTTTTGTCCTTTCCCAGTTAACAGATGTTGAAAGAGGTGCTTTTTTGTTTTCTTTCCGGGCTTCACTTGAACCAATTGTCTGTGGTTGTTGTCTGGGGTAGGGTCAGCTTTAGTGTGTTAGGAGGAACATGATGAGAGTTGCTGCAGCTGTGAACTGCAGAAATGATGCATGTGCTTGCGCTCCCTCTGCCGGCACCGGGACTCAATCAGAGCAGAACCCAAATACCAGTCAGGACTGAACCAGGACTGGGGCTGGCTCTGGTTTGTTAACTGCAGCAGTAAGGGAACGCGTTTAACCGTGATGCAGTGCTTCATGTGTCAGCATAGATCTGCAAAATGTAGGTCACTCTTGCAGCTTCCTGAGGCGGAGGCAGAGCACTGAAGTGCCTTGTGTGTGGCGAGTCACCAGAATTGGGCTTTGCTGCATACTGAGGCCTGTCCCACATTCGGACCAATCCTGCTTTCAGGGGTGAATTTTGGAAGCGATTGTTGTATGAAATGTCTTCCTGACAAGAGTAAAGCAGTGTGGAAATTAACTGCCTTGTTGGCCTGGATGTCTAGGATTTTCAGTTGTCACTAAGGGAGGAGAGAGCCTGAAGTACAGCTAGATGCAGGACTGACCTAGCTGGTCAAATCTGGTTGCACTGCTTTTGCTCCATTTGAGTCTTTGCATGGATAGCAGCTGTTCTGACACTGATGTTCATAAAGTTCAGCGAAGGATTTAATTTTTCTGTAAGAATTCCAGCTGTTACAGTTGTTCACTACTGGATGGAGGAGAGAAAATGCTGGACCTGGGCTGAGGCTGGAGTTGTCACTCCAAAACTAAGCAGTAGTACAGTGGACAGATAGGTAGGGGGATGTTTATCTTGGAGTAAAGAGCGGAGAGTTCAAAAATCTGGATCTTTATGTGATGATGGTGAAGCTGGGGGAAAACACAGTCTGGGAAAGCAGAAGTCCTGTGATGAACTCTTTTTCCTACTGCCATGAACATAAGCTTGATGTCTGGATTTAAGTGGGCTCTACTCATGGTCCCAGCACCAAAGAACAGAATGTTCTTGTCTAAACTTGTATTTACCAGGGTTAAGTCTCAAGATGAGTGTGGTCTGGGCCATTCTGCACAGCCTTGAAAGGCAAGGAGGTGATGGTTTTGTGGAAAGGGGATGTTTGCAACTCTTCTGGGAAAGGATGTATCAAAGGACCTGTGCAGGCTATACCAGTCTTACTGTTCTTTCTGTTTTTACTCTTGAAAATTGCTTCTAATAGCAGTATTGTGTAGAATCTGACTGACAGTTCAAGTGGATATAGCGGTCCTCAAAAAGCCTTCGTTTCCTTTGTTAGCAGCTTCCAAAGAGAGGTGCACTCGATATCTTGCACCAGGACATTGCCTGTCATGGAGATTACCCACAGAAGGCGTGCTTCCAGCACGCTGTAGACAGCACTCTTTTTGTTTTTCAGATGGTGCTCTTTGCCATCACTCACAGATGGAGTGCTTTGCAAAGCAGATCTACTCACCCTCTGGGTAGGTGGGTATGGCATGGGAAGGGCAGCTTGGGCTGACTCCTCTCTCTTCTTGTAGATCTGGCTATTGTTTTGTTGTTTGACTACCACATCTGAGTCCATTTTCATGTTCCCACTGAGGACAATGTGCAGCGCTCAAGTGACTGTTTACCCAGGGCAGTGGATGTCAGGGAGGAAGGAGTACAAAGTGTAGCAGATGGCATGGCAGTGGTAACGTCCTCTTGTCCTTTCCCTCACCAGTCAGTCAGTCGAGACAAACTCCTGATGCTTGGGAGCATGTTGTCCTAAGCTGACCACTGGCACAAGAATAATACACCCTTCATCTCTGTTCAGAGTAAAGTGCTGTTGTTTCCAATACTCTATGAAACTCCATGGCTTTGACCTCCAGGGTTGTGTACAAACCTTTTCCTCTGTTTTTATTTTTCGGGGGGCTCGGGGTGACTGATTACCATGGATCACAGCAAACCTCAAACGACATTGGTGCTTTCTCAGACACAAACCATAAACTGCTGCTGATGGGAGTTCTTTGGGCTTCTGAAGTATTGCACAGAACCAGCTGTTGTTCCTGGTTACTTCTGAGGAAATAACTGTTATTCAGTTGTTGGGGACCTCTAAATAAAAAATGGATCTGACCAAAAAATGAAAGTAATTCAGAAAGTCCAGGAAACATCCCTCTGTGTATGTATCACTTGGCCCAGACTGAGATGCAGGATAGGAAGTACCAGCAAACTGGTGGTACCTAACTGAATTGTTGGCGTGAAGTGCCTCATGTATGGGGTTTCAAGACTAGTTTGGACATTTATAGTCTGTATCCCTTCTTACATGTGAGTACCTGAGTTCTCAGGCTTCTGGTACAGTTGAAATTCATCCTTTCCCTCAGCCCATGTGAAAAGGCTGGCGCAAGACTTCCCCAATTCTTTCTCCTTTGCCTTCCTCTCTTCCCCCTTTTCCCTCCAAACAGTAATAAAGAGGTTACTTGCTCCTGGGGAGCAAGACACTTCTGTAAGTCTTCCTGTATCTCCTTATAATGGAGATGTCTGTGGTTTGATCTTTGTACAATCATAGAGCTTGGAAGGGAGCTCTGGTCAGGTGCTCCTGTGGCCTGCTCAAAGCAGGACCAACTTAGATCAGTAGATCTTTTAAGTACTGAGCTGCTGTTTTGACTTTACAGGACCTTTTTAAAATAAAATTTTTTAAAAAGTCAAGGTTACTATGTCTGCCCATCTGCTCAGGGAGACTAAAAGTCACCAGCCTATGCACAGGTCATTTTGTTGAACTTCATAAACTGGTATCTGTTACATTGCAGCAAGTGGAGCAAATGTTCTTATCTGTTCCAGACTGAAATTTATGCGGAGCAAAGGAATCCTAAAGTGCTGCAGGACTGTGATCCCTGTAAAAAAAAAAGGGCTACTTCAGAGCCCTGGGAAAAGTTATATGCTTGTTTCTTAGGTACCAAAAAAAAGTGGAGTTGGTTGAAATCTTTGTGGGGTGATCATTAAGTGCCCACTGTTCACATAGTTCACAGTCTCACCTGTGTTTTTAAAGAAATAGCTGTACTGTCTTGCACTTTCAGATTGACCTGGGCTGAGGTGTGAATTCACGGCCTCACAGCTGGGGCTCCTCTGGAACCTGATAAAGCCCACACAGTATCCCCAGAGAGGTACTTCCAAATATCAGTGACTGCTCCTAGGGACACCCTCTGCATGCTAGAGGATATGCATGAGGGGAAGATCTCTCTGACTGTAATACTGTCTGCATTTTTTATAAGGAGGTTAATGTGCCTGCTGGGAACCTAACATTAATTGGTGATTAAAACTGGCCAGAACTCATTGCTCTTTGCGTGGTGAGTTTGCTCTTGAAATACTTAGGTTATCTTAAATTGTTTTGACTCAAGTCACGCTGAGCAAATGAGTTGAAACACTGAAATCTGAATATCCACGTATATCACAGATTGTCCTAAGTGCACTTAATGGGATGCCCTGCCTGGGAAGAACAAAAAGGGCTCTTATTTCCCCATGGCTGCAGCTTTGCTAGTGACAGCAGCCATGGGTTCAGCAGGAAAGAGAGGGCGCAGGTTTCCTGACCCCACCAGCAGCTCTGAGCAGCTCCGGAGAGACCCCTGTTCTGCAAGCTCAGCCCTACCCAGGGGCACTTCACAAAATTCTGTTATTCCTTTTCACCAGAGCAGCTTGTCAGCAGCAGCTTGTTTCCACCACGTGGAGGCACTGGTGATACTGTGCAGTCGTGGGTACTTGCAGAGAGTGTATATGAAACCCAGTTTTGCTGAATGTGATAAAAATCAAACCATAAATGTTCCCTTGCTCAATGTTCCATGTAGTGTTTTCCCTCCTTCCAGTGTTCCACTGGGAGAACTCCTTTTTCATTTTAAGTTTGATTTTGTTGCTTTTTTTTTCTTGAGGTTGGTGTAGCAAGTGCTTTACTGGCTCTCCATTTCATTACCATCTTCCCTAAATGCTCCTTCTGTCCTTCCATAAATGAAGCTCCACCAAAACATTATCTCAAGGATGCATTTACATTTGTCTCAGTGAAATGCATCTATGCACTTAGTTCCCAGCTCTCCCTGTATGTGGCCTGGATTTGAGCAGCATTTCCAGCATACTGGTTTTCCATTTTTAACCAAGGTTAACAGCTTCTGACACTTAACCCCGATGGAGGGCATCAGTGTCAGTGAGTTTCATTAAAGAGCAGTGTAACAGCACTAAGGAGAAACTAGCACAGCATCTGGCAAGGGCCACTCTGATTTTCTGTAGGTTTTTCTTAGTCTGCAACTCACAAAGCACCTTTCACACAAGTGCATCCCAAACCACCTCTCTTCTGCTGGGCCACGGCAGTACTGAAAGGCACCCATCTCCGAGGAGGTGCCAGCAGGGCCATCACAAACGTGGGGCAAGGGAAAAAATTCTGAGGCCTTTGCTTATACCAGCTTTTCAGAAAGTATTTTGAGGTGGCTAAAGTCTGCCTGCAAAGAGATAGGGCATTCAGCTAAGACTTTAGGATTAAATGTAATTTTTTGAATGAGGAGGGTCTGAGCTCTCCCAGCCAGACTTTATTTCCCTAACATTGCAAAATACTAATAATACGTCCCAAATTAAATGAAACCAAAGATGCCATTACTAGTAGATAGCATCTTTGGTTTCATTTAATTTGGGACCATAAGCAGAAAGAAAACTTTAACCCATTGTGTCACTTCAGAGTTACAGTTGTTAGATGTCCTTAACCATTAAGATGTCTTATTTCTTGTATGTTACATCTTAATATCCTTTTTAAACATTAATTTTCTAGGCTTGTAGTGACAGCTTTTAGGGGCAATTTATATTAACCCTGAAGTCTTCTACCTGGGATGAGTGTTGTGTTCTCCACCATAACTCCATACTGTTGTAGATTTCTATCTGAGAACTTCCTTTTAAAATATTAAGAACTAATGACATTCGCACCAAAATGGTTGACCTCTTTCAAAAAGGTTCCCAACATTCCTGCTTTTAATTGTTGGAAGATTTGTAAAAGCAATGTTTTGTAATGTGTAGCACTAGAATAACCATTTTGGCATTTTATTTCACTCCGCTATAAATCAAATCAAGACATACACTGAGTTTTCCCAACAGATCTGCTCCTCTGTGGCCTGTGACCTTTTCCACGCTGTTCCTGCATGCTTATACACATGTGTTCATTGCCCAGGCTGTGGATTATTACCCTGTCCAACATCCCACCTTGTTTATGTGCAAAACTGCTTGTTCACACAGTCCGTTTTCTCCTTCCCTATTGAATAGATCTGCCGCCGCCGCCTTTTCTCCCCCAGTAAAAAGCCATAGTTAGGACTAATGTTTTGTTTATTTTTGAAGTTTCTTTTGACTGTGGCTGGAAAAATTAATGCATAGCCCCTTTGTACAAAAATGTTTGTTCTCAAGATGGCTGCCTCCTCTTCTCAATGGGCTGAGGCTACAAGTTGTTCATTTGAAGCAGCAGAAACTGGGTGCAGGCTCCTGTCAGCGGCAGTGACAGCAAAGCCTCACCAGGAAAAACAAGTGAGTGGCCTCATTCCTTTTGAGAACAATGGGAGATTGCAACCATTTCTGGGTGAATCAAGAGCTTGCTGTGAAGTTGACAAATGCAGCACCTCTGATGCTGAGGAAGAGACTTTTCCTTAGGAAAAGTGAGTTGCAAAAATTGCCCGTGAGTCTAGTCGAAATCTCCCTCCCCTGAAAAAAATCCAATTTGATGTAGCCTCTGCATGACATCCTGTAAGTTTTCACAGAAAGGGTGATGTTAAAGTTTCCGTTGCGTGTTGTGACAGGCAGAACAATAAGATATGTTTCAGGCCTCTCAATTCCCTCAAGCAGCCATTTTTGAGCAATGTCACCTTAGGAGCTAGTTCACCAATGTGATTGCGAGTTCTCACACTTTTTTCTGTGCACAAACTGTGGCAAGTGATGTGAGGTTGTACTGAAATTATACCTAAGTCAGGGCATCAGACAAAGTGTAAAATTCCATTTTAAATGTAAAGTTGAGAAGGCTCCTTCACACTACTGTTGCTTGGTGTTTTTTTCCTTAAGCTTGAAAATTGCCTCTTAAAAACAAAACGTCTGCCTTTTCCTGGTGCGATTGAGGAAAACTGAGAGGTTGTTGTGGGTGGGGGGAGCTGGATCCCACCGAACTCCTCTGCCCCAGTGCTGCACTGGCCAAGTGGTTGGATGCAAGGGGATGCTTTGTGCTGATTTCCTTTTACCCAATTGTGCTTTGTGGGATGTTCAACCCAAGGAACATGGCTGAACGAAAGAGGAAGCCCAAGTTTTCCAAGGAAGAACTGGACATTTTGGTCACTGAGGTGACCCGAAATGAAGCCATGCTGTTTGGGAGGGAGACAATGCGTCTGTCCCATGCTGACAGGGACAAGATCTGGGAAGGCATAGCCAGGCAGATCACATCAGTCAGCCAGGTCCCCAGGTCTGTAAAAGACATTAAACACAGATGGGACGACATGAAGAGAAGGACCAAGGACAAACTGGCATTGATGCAGAGGTCCCTCTCCAGCCCTGGCAGTGCGGGGCGGCCCTCGGCCATCGTCCTGACCGCCCACGAGAGAGCCATCGAGTCGACACTGCATTCGTCACACCAGATGCACGGCTTCCGGAGAGCGGATCTGGACGTGGTTGACAGCCCATCAACAAGCAGTAAGTATCCTTGCCTTAACACCTCTTTGTCTTATGCTTGCATATCTCAGTTTGACACCAGAAGAGCGTTGTGTGTTTTGTGAGGTGCTGGGTTGCCTGTCAAGCCAGGTCCTACTGCTGTGTTTGGTTTCAAGACAGCCTGCTCTGGTGATCATGGGGTGATGAGATGGACTGAGGGAAAGCTGTTTCCAAGATCATCTTATTTATCTGTTTACCTAATCCTTTTCCATACTGTCTTCTAAGGGTAGACGTTCAGATTCCACTTTCTTAATGGGTCATAAGTCTGAACTAATCCTACAAGAGAGGGAACATCTGTAGTTGAAGTGCAACTACCTCCAGTCTGTGAAGAAGTGTTTGTAAAGGATTAGGAGTTCTTCATCTTGCATGCACCCCAGTAAAACAACAATGCGGTCAAGCTGAGAGTCATGTGGCAGTCACTAATGGAACACTGCATGGTAACCGTCTTCCAAGAGGGCTGTTGGGGGGCTCAGTGATCACTGGTGTTCATACTCTGAGGCCAGGTCACTAATGATTTCTCACTAGTGGCCTGAAGGCTCAGCACAAGTGCTGTGAAAAAGGTAGATGATAATGACTCCCGTCTTCACTGTTTTTTTAAGAAATTACTGACCCTTCTTTCTAAGCTAATCTTCTTACACCACAATTCTCAGGCACCTTCCAGTGCTGAACCACAAGCTGCTTTTTGCAGGTTCTTTCCCCAGTTGCATACATACAATTTTCTTGTGTGGAAGTGCAGCTCCTTGGTCTGTTAGCTTTTAGGGATACGAAGGAGAGAAAGAGTGGATAACTTCTTGGGAACTGAGCCAACTAACACTTCATGGGTGGCACTGACCTACCGCATTAGGTCTTATCTCATACCTGAAGTAATGTCATTAGTGGGAAAGCAAGGACAAAAATCTTAAAGAACTGACAAAGTGGGACTTGAACATTCTTTGCATCTGCCTTGGAAGCCAGTTGTGCTGTTTCAGAGGTAAAATGAATAGAGCTTCTGCAAGGAGGTAGTGGGCAGTTGGAACAAGTGAAATATTGTCCCTTCTTAAACTAATGAGAACTTTCCCATGGTGTTTTGCTTTGGGTCTGGTGGTTTTGCATCGAGTACACTTTCTTGATTAATATAGGACCTGTTGCTGCTATGTCTGACTGCCTGGTTATCTTATGATGCCAAACCACATTGTGGCTTTGCAGTGCAGACTTTTGCAAGCAGCAAATACTATGTCTACGCTTTTCTCAGTGCTGAGGATATAAGGGTTTTGGCATGAGGAACCAAATGTGTCAGGGTGTTCTGACACTGGACCAAAGGCCAGGAGCCTTTGTCCCTCCAAAATGTTAGAGTGTTCTAGCTACTTATGGTTTTGGGGAAGGGGAGTCATTGCTACTGTCTGAAACGGATTTATATTCTAGTAATGAACGATGCTGTGTACAGGATACCATTGCAGCTTGGATTCCTCCTCGGTTGACTGGGTTCACCTGCTCTTCAGGCCTCTTACGGCTAAGCTTGTTACCCAGATGCTAACGTTGCAGCACGTGCATGTTGAGTTATGCATCAGGAGCTACAGGCTTGTCTCAACTGGCAGACTGGGGGGAGGGGAAAACCCTTTTTCCCTGTGCGCTTTGAGATAGTGTGAAACAGAAGTCAGAGCCATGAGGAGTTTCACATTAATAATTCATACTTCCTCTTCTGTTTAAGCTGATGAAGATGAGGAGACGCCAGGCACTTCTCAGGAACACCTCTTCTCGTCGCTGCAAAGGCCTGGTGCAGGAGTCAGCCAGCTCTCCGGGCCCTCCTTCCTCCACACTTCTTCCTCATCAGAGCACTCGGAAGCTACCAGCCAAAGGCAGGAACTGCACCGTCCACCCCCGCGCACCACCTCGTCCTGCAGACCCCCGCACCCCTGCACACGGAGCCCGCCCCTCTCCAGCTTCGATCGTCAGCTTCTCCATTCCCACATGCAGCAAACAGACCTGTTCAGGCAGTTCTGCCAGGAGCTGGTGGCTATTCACAGAGACATGGTCGACAGCATGCATGTCATTGGTCAGAGGATGGCTGACCTCACCAGCCAGGTTGGCCAGATGTGCCACACTCTCTCAGAGATCCGTGATGGGGTCCAGGCTTTCCATAGGATACAAGATCCTAGTGTCACGCGGGGGTCTGTTCAGCAAGCAGCTTGCTCAAAACAGCCCCCCGAGCCCAGTGCAGAGTCTAACCAAAACCCCCCAAAACAGGCTCCTCCTGCACGGACTACCAGGTCACGAAAGAGAAAACATCATTTTTAGTCTGCTTCCTGTAACATTATGGAGGGTGCTCCTTCCTGAGCTGCTGCATGCTCACGTGGCCTCTCCGTGCGTATCAGTACTCCATGGGGAAGGTCAACAGCCACCCCAACCCATCCAATCCCCCTGCTAGCTAGCAGAGCAGTATGACTTGTGGCAGTTGAATAGTAGGGCTGGCCCTCTGCAACGGCAAAGAGAAACCTTAAATATTACAGAGCTTGGGATGTAGCACATCTTTCTGTTCATGGAGATTAGGAATTTTCACTAGCTTCCCAATGCTTTGAATGCTGTATAAGCTAAGAGATGCAATAGGAATCATTATCTTGTTCTCTCCTCATGCCTGTGAAATGGCATTTACTGAGACAGTGTACTACAGAGCTTCCTTTGCAATCAACCCACAAATTTACCCTACTACTGCCTTCCCGTCATCTTCCTGCAAATTACTGTATGCACTGTGCAGAGATGCATCCTTACTGCTCTGAAGACTTGCTGCTCATTATTTTTATCTTGCGTTCAGCAATAATGGGCAACCCAGGGCTTACTGTGACTTACGCACAGGTTTGGGGAGAGGGATGTAAAAGCAGAGCTTGTGCAGGGAAGGGAAGAAGGCTTGGAGGACATGTCTGAGCACTGTGGGGTTTTAGACTGCTGAGAAGGGCTGTGATGGCACACGCCTGGATCCTGCAGTACCACATGCATTTATATCAGAGAGTTTAATCTTTGTCTGCTCCAATCTGAAACCCCTACCTACCCTTCACAATTGCAGTTAAAATACAATTATTTCATAATATGACAATTAAAGAGAATTGTATCATATTACTTTTTTTGCATGTTATAATCTTCAGTTTTGAACCACCTCACCCACTTCGAAACATGAGAAACTGCACAGAAACAAGGAAAGCTATAGGGCCTGATTCTGACCTCAGGAACAGTTTGGTTTTGTATCACTGTAATTCTGTCAACTTCAGTACAGGTACTTTGCACCTAGTGTTATTTAGGGTGGGATCTGTACTGTGTTCTCCTATCGTGAAGAGTTTACAATCTAATTTCACAACTATACAGGTTAAAAGCTTAGACATGTTGTGTTCGTACTGTTTGCCTCCCCCATACAGATGCAAGAAAGAACTGTGTTATAACATCTGATTCGCTTTAGTGCTGCGTGAGGTTCCCATGTACAACTCCGATTCCGAAACTAGGCTTTAATAATGTCACCTCAGGTGGTGATGACATATGTGGCAGCTTTTTTACAACATGTCTGTCTTTTCCTTTATTTGTACATCTGCACCTACCATTCTGTCCTCACCTCTGGAAAAGTCTGGACCATTATCACGAGATGCTTCAACAGGGAAAAGGGCCAAGGTGTCACGCACACACAGCTAGCACGCTGCTGCACTCCAGGGCTGTCCTACTGGGTGTGGAGGTGGGCTGCAGGAAACTATTCAAGTTAATGTGAATGTGCATCGTTATGCCACGTCTGGCCTACAGACTTGGCCAAAAAGTTGTATAAACTTCAGCGGGAATTGAACGTAGGCAATGCAGTATAGCAGAAGGATGGTTTGGTTTATGTGATGTTGAAGGATCTTCTTTAATCTGTCTGGCCTGTCCTTTGAAAGTATAGTGCACTAGCTTCTCTTCTGGAAAGTTCACTGTATGCCTGCTGTGTCAGGCATTGCTGACATGCTTTTTCTTTTTAATTGTTCTGTAATTATGATTCAAGTTATTTATTTTTAGTGGTGTGGTAAAAGGCCCTTGCTCAAGGAAGTAGAGGTCTGGCAAGGAGAAAAACCTTCTTTCTGAGGTATGACCCATGCTGGTTTCATGTAGAGGGTATTCCTGGTGCCAGACCAGGGCAGTACTTGTTCACCTTCCTCTGAGGATGTCATTTTACTTCAGTTGAAGGGAAGATTGGGAAATCTGGTAGAAATAGACCTAATTTATGAATGCAAAGAGCTGAAAAAATGGTGATATGTTCTAAAGGATTTCTGGGTTAATTTCTTAGTACTGCTGCTATACATTAGAAGTGGTATTTTATATTTTTATAATATTTGATCTCTGTTGATGTTTTCCCATGGATATACTGATAGGATTAGCTCCTCTGGTGTTGTCCAGGGGGATTCCTGATGGGAACCCTCAGGTCTGCAGAGGAGGAGACTCCTGCAGGTGCTGGGTACTGGAGGGAGTTGGCATTGTTGCTGACATCAGTTTGCCCACACAGATGCATTTAGAGAGAGAATCCTGGGGCAGGATGCACAGCCTTCAATAAAAAACCCCAGAGGCTGGGCTCTGGTCAGGAGAAAGGATCTTCTGCTGTAAACTGACTGATGTCTCCTCCAGTTTCCTCTGTGGACTATCACAGATTGGCCCACATCTGGGGACATGTCTCCTGTTCTGTGTAGACCCCTCGGTGGAGTGGCTTTTCTGTACTGGCTTGCAAAGGATACTTCCTCCTGCACCCATCATGTTAACTGGCTGTTGAAGTAAGTGCCTGCGTCAAAGCAAACTGCTGTGCTCAACCCCAGTATCTCCATGTCTTGTACATGCTGAAAAAATTATCTTTAAAAAAGTATTTTTGTTAAGAATGCAATAAATATATAACACTTCTAACACAGCTGCCGTTGAGTCATTTGTTTCTCTCCTATAATTTTTGCCTGAACTGGTAACAAGCCTGTCACAGATGCTGGGTCTCCTGAGGCGCTTGGCGTTGGAGAGCTGAGGCAGGGTTTGTGGGTGCAGCACCCCAAGGTGTCTGCCTGGGCTGGTGGCAGCGCTCTTGCACGGCATGTCCTTCTCTGTCTCTGTGCCCGGTGTTGATCTGAGAAAAAACAGTGGCCTTTTCCCTGTGGTGCTCTGTCCTGGCAGGACATCAGCGGAGCATCCACAGGACCAGCCAGAGGGTGAGCAGTGAAGGGGTCAGCGGGCAGGGTGGGAGGCATGGGGCAAATCCTGTTGGGGCAGGGTGGGCAGAGGCCTGAGCCTTCCTCCAGTTGCAGGGCTCTCCTTCCTCCACGCTGTCTTTCCTGGGTGCTCTGGTCCCCTTCTGGAGAGGAATGGAATGATCCCAGCTGCCTAAAAATACCTTCACTATATTCTGGGCATGCTAACTGGCCCATCCCAAAACCTGGCAATTTGGAGTCCTGTGCAGGTTGTAGCTTAGAAAAAAGGGAGATGAGGATATTTTTTGCTGCTGGCTAGAAAAGTTATGGGAAAGGTGGCCCTGTAGAGCAAGAAGCTGTGCCTCTGACAGTCATGGGGTTGATCCAAGCCCCAGTAGCTGCAAGTGGGTCATAAATGGCCTCCATTGGTGCAGTGGCTGGTCCTGAGTAGCCCAGGCAGAATTTGTGGTGGTCTTGAGCCTGGGGCCAGGGACTGAGCAGGACATGAAATGACCCACTTGCAGCTGGTGTCCACAGGAACAGTTCTGGGTGGTTGGGGCTGCCCCAGCGGCGGTCCCAACCCTCCTCTTCCTCTGGGGATCACTGTCCGTTGGGAAACCTGCAGCGCAAGTGGCGCCGTGCCCATCTGCGCACAGTATTTGTGTCAGCCTAGCCCTGCCTGGCCTGAGCATCCAAACCGAGGCAGCCACCTTGCCTCAATTCAGCTTGAGCATTTGGCATCAGGAGGGAGACTGGCTGCTTTCCAGCCTTCACAGGGAGGGTTGCTTCAGGACGTGAGCTCTTCAGCCACGGGAAGATATGTCAGTGAAGGCAGACTGGTACAGTCACTCCTCAGCAGACAGTTTGTGTGCCCCTGCCTCGCCAAGCAGGCTGCCGTTGTGCGGAGTGACTTCCTCTGTCCTCAGAAAATTGCCTGCCTCTAACCTGTGGTGTGCAGCAGCCTGAGGTGTCTTAGACAGGTGGAATTTGGGTTTTATGCAATCCTTCCTAACCTATACCATTTGTGCCCCTGGGGTCCCTTTCCTTAGAGCCGGGGCTGGTTGGAAAGCGGTTCATTGATGTGGATGATCTCATCCCCATTTATGTTACCTCAGGGAAGTATCACAGATGTAAAACTTCCTCTCAGAGTTTAAGCCAGTTACTAACAGCCAGCAGCTGTGAAGAAACTGAGTTTGTGACTGGATTATTCCATGACTGTCTCTTAAGGGCTTTCTTCACCTCCTGGTGAAATGGGCAGTGCTGGCTGCTGCAGGGCGTAGGGTAGGAGTGGGTGGCTGGGCAGTATGCTGCAGGGTGCAGCCGTGATGCAGGACTGCAGCTCACACCCTCCCCTCTGCCCTCTCCTCCCAGCTCCCCTGTGCTCCAGGAGCAGCTGGAGCCTCAGGACAACAGCGCAACAGAGCTGAAGGATGCTCTTGGGCAGAAACTTGGAGAGGTTTAAAGGCAGGAGGAGAGTAAATGGAAAAAGCGTGCTCATGCTTAATAAAATACTTTGTAATAAAAGTAAGCCCTGGTGGGAATAGTTAACCAGGCTCTCCCATTCCAATGCAAAGTTGTGTTTTAGAGAATTTTCTAAATCTCACTGTCAAATGCGGTTTGCTGGGAAGGCACGAGATTGTCCTGCCACTGCCCTGTGGACTCAGTGCCCCTGACTGTGGGGCTGTGGGTCCTGTATGTTGTATTAAGGAGCTGTGAACAACTTCAGGGTGATAAATCTTTGCAGGTAACCAGGCTCCTTCACGGGGCAACCTGATCTTGTCATTGCTCTGGCTGATGTTTGGGCAGGGGGATGCAGAGCAGCTGCAGAGCCTCTCCTTAGCTGGTGCTAGGAAGCATCCTGGCGTTCTGCTTGGACTGGGGAGAGCATCCTCTAGGATCTCCCGTGCTGCAGGTCATCAGACTGACCACGGCACATGGCTATATCCCAAGGGTTGTGTATCTCCTGGCTGGCTGAATGCCTGATGCATCTTTCGTGGATTGACAAAACCCAGAAGTGACAGCGTGGCAGCACTGGCTGTGTGCCATTGCAGGACCTCCTTCACACTGCGCTGGTCCAGGCTCCTTCTCAAATACACAAACCGGTGGTTTAAAAGTTCATTTGTTTTGTGATGAAAAGTAAAATAAGGGTTAACAAAAGCCAATCTTCGGCTAATTTTGGCAGTGCCAGAGCCTGCTGTTTAAATAATTACTGAAGATTTCGGAGCATCTTGGGTAGCACATATTAGGAAAAATACAGCTGATTGCAGGCACATGCACAGTTGCTTAACGTTAAAACCAGAATTGCTGGAGCCCCGGGCAGTCTGAGACACTGCAGACTTGTTTTCTGTGTTTTGCAGGAAGTTTCACCAAGTTTCTCACCTTATGTATATGGGTTGGTGTGATGACGTGCAGGTGGGCTTATGTCTTTACTTGTGCATGCATGTGGCTGGAGAAGGGGAGAGCATTCAAGGAAAAAATGACAGATTTCTTAAGCTGAAGAAACACCTGTGAGCTATAAGGGAGTTTTGGGGCAAGGACTAGTAGGAGCAGATGTCAGAAGAGCCATTTGCCGCTTGCCTTCGTTAATATTACTGCAGCAGGGAGTACTGAATAATAGAGGCAAATGGCATAAGAGAAAAAAAAGCTTTTAGCTGTGAAGCATTCAGATGTGCTTTTGGGTCTGTGTGACAAGGCCTCCTCCTGGCCCTGGATGGGTGTTACGAGCTCATGCTGGGGGCAGCTGGAACTGGTATTACCAGGCCTTTTTCATGTCCTCTAGCAAGAACACGAGGAGTGTGAGAACAAATAATATGATCCTAGCTGTAAATTTCTGTCTTACCAAGTTGCAGAGAGACACTTGCTTAGAGTGGCAATTAATACTTTTCTGCTGAGCTGAAATATAGCTGTTTAAAATCAGGAAAATAAATACCATGCCCAGAAAGCGATTTTTTTCTGTCAGCACTGCCAGGAGATCCCTGCAGTGTGGTGCTGGGCTTTCCTGAGACTTGCAGGGCTGTTTGTATTTTTATGTCACACCCCACTGAATGACCAAGTGCAAAACCTCACAGTACTGGCATCTCCTTGGTTTCCTTTTGGACAACCAGTGAAATTTACACTTGATTTCCTTTTGGACAACCAGTGCACATCAGATGTCTGTGTTTCTGTCCTGAGTATCTCAATTCTGCTTGTCCGAAAGGAGAAAAGCAAGGAAATCTGACATCTACTAAATAAGGAAGACAGTGTTTTGGGGCAGAGGGACCCTACCATATTCCAGATGTTCCTGAGAACAAGGGAGGATGCCCTGGGATGTGAAGTGACGGTAGGGAGTCCAGAAGTCCTTGTTTCCATTACTAGGTGAAAATATTTCTGCCTGTGAGAGTCTGTGTCACACTTACTGGCAGAGATACTCCTTCAGGGTGGATGTACGTTGTTGTTGTCATCCTTTCCGCAGCAGAAATGGCCCTACTGGTTTAGTGTTCCCTGGGTATCCATTCTCGTTGTCCTGTATCTCTGGCAATTTGCACACCATTACTTATAACTCCATGCTTTCCAGTCTGGCTGTGTTGATGGCTCTCTCTGAAGGTCATTCTGGCTTCATCATGGTTGTCATTCTGGTGCAAGGGGGGGCACAGGAGAGAAGTTTGTGCCTCACGCCTGCCTTGTCACCTCACCCTCAGGTATGTGATCATCTCCCGGGAGGAGAGGGAGCAGAACCTGATGGCCTTCCAGCACAGCGAGAGGATATACTTCCGTGCCTGCCGTGACATCCACCCTGGGGAGAAGCTGCGGGTCTGGTATAGCGAGGATTACATGAAACGGTTGCATAGTATGTCCCAGGAGACCATCAACAGAAATTTCACAAGCGGTGAGTCCCCTCTCTTTCCACCCTTTTCCCCGATCCCCTTGGGGTGCCACACTCGAGTGCGGTGGGTGAAGTAGGTGATGCACAAGCTGTGTGAGGAGAACTGAATTTCTAGAAGCAGAGCACCTCTGGGTGAGAGCTCTGCATGGCACGGATGGTGGGTGTACAAGGAGAGTAATGTAACCACTGTCATGGAGATCACAAAAGAAAGATGTGTGCTGTGTCGTGTCGTGTCATGTGTCGTGTTGTGTTGTGTGTGTGCTGCAAGGGCCTGAGGGATCACGGAGCTCCTCTGTCACAAGACTTTCCGGCCTGAAAATTGCCAAGCTGGTGGTCCCACAGACAGGGATTAGGTTTTTCTTCTGAACATGCTGCCTTCACTGGCTCCTGTGAGCAGCCTGTTTGAGGGACCTCTGGCCGGTTTTGTGTTCATATGAAAGAGAGATTTCCTTGGTGTGTTTGTCTGTCCATTTTCCTCGCTTAATTTATCTCCTCTTTCTTCAGAAATTGGGGATCAGCGCGACATCAGCTAGAGACTCCTTAGTCTCACAACCTTAGAGTGTGTGTACAACGTGCGGGAGGCTGTGTACTTTTCAGACTGATTCTTCCCTGGATAAAAATTGTTATCTTAAGAGTAGCCATGCTGGAACAAACCCAGCGGTCCTTTAGGTCAGTGTAATGTCAGCAATGCAGGAAGCTTTAGAGGAAGGCCAAAATTCTTAATTCATCTGTTCATCTATACAATGCTGAGACCTGAAGTTAATTAAGGGCATTTCTTCCCAGGCCTAGCCACAGAATGGCAGGACCTCAGCAGGGCAGCCACACTAAATATAACTTTCTAATTAAGGTTCCCGTGTATATTATTACACAGCTGCTGTTGCTGCCTTGACTTGGTAAAAGGTGTCTCCTCTTTAATCGTGGGGTGGGCAAGGTGTCCTGAAAAAGCTGGTTATCCTCCATCACCTTGGAGTTATTATGCGCTTGCAGTGTTACATCTTGATGGTGGTACTTGGGCAATTCCCACTTCTGAATGAACATTGGTATGAATATGCTTTTTTATATTAATGAACATCACTGAGTGATTAGGTACAGGCTGCAGTGATTTTGCTGCATCCCACACACACATTAGTTGTCCAGATGGCTTAGTACTTTATGAAAGTACTGCAAGAGAAAGACTGTGCCCTTGGAGCAGCGGCTCTGGAGGGGCACCAAGGCTATGAGTGATTGCCCTGCCGTACAGACATGCCTTTAGTCATGGTTTGTCATGGTTTGTGTGAGCTGAAGTGGTAACTCACAGCCTGCTCTGTGCTGCAAGTGCAGTGAAGATCTGCCTCTGGGCTCCTCAGGATGCGCCGTAGCCTACCACACACTCAGGTAGAATCCCATGTGGCTGCAGAGACCATCCTAGAACCCCTCTGACATCTCGGTGAGCTCATCCTGCAGCAAGCTGGGCTCAGCCTGTGTTCACAAAAGAAGCGCAGAGACGTGGTTAGAACGGAGCATCGCTTGGGCTGTTGCTAGACTTGTGCGAGACATCACAGCCTTATCTGGGAGGACACTGGGAGGTGGTCAGGAAGCAGCACCAAAATCTGTTGAGTCACTTTCTATTTAAAAGATTTCAAATCCCCTGCAGGCGAGCCTATCGAATGAAGTGACAGTGCTTTAACTCACAGAAAAAGAACATGGTTCCCAGGTTTTGTTTCTGTCAGTGGTTTCTGACCCGCCTCATCAGTGGAGTTGAGACCAATAATATGAGGGATCACCTTGTGATTTCTAGCTTTTCCATAGGGCTGAACCACTTGGTCGGTTGGGGGAAAAATCACCGAGAAAGAAGAATCCATTCTCTAAATTCCTACCTCTGCCAGTAGTCATTGTACTCCATAACAGGAGAAATACTAGGGCAGAGGCAAAGTTTCCCGTCAGTATGTTGAAAATGAGATCTGTTGTTATGGATTCACTCAAGAAGTGGTTGGGTTTGCCAGCCAGTGTCCAAACCCAATGCAAAATCCCTGCCATTTGGGCCAGCCCTTTTTACTGTGCCTTACTCTAACTGTTTCGAGTCTTGCATCTTTTCTGCATTCTTAGCATTGCTCTCCTTAGAGAGGGAATGGTAGCTTTTGCTCTGTAACTCTTATGAAAGCATGAATACACTTTAAAAGCAAACAAAACCAAAAATCAGCATAAAGCAGCGTCTTGTTTGGGAAGCCATCAATGCTTGAAGTTATTTACAAGATAGAAGAATGCTGGAAATTGAGCCAAACCTATCGTCTTTTGAATTTCCAGGTAAGGAAATCTGGCTATTCCCTTTATTTTAAGCAATTAATAATTTATATGAGGTTGCTTTTATTATTTTTTTTATTTTTATTCACTGGCTGGCCATGCTCTTAGACTCCACCGGGACAAGCTAGATGTCCCATCCTTGGAGGGCATTCACCCGTTGTAGCTCAGTTGACAATGAGTACCTTGGGATTTAAGTGTGCAAGTTATTTTTACTCCTTTACCTTTGCATTTCTGGAGCAGCCTCCAAACTGAACGAGAGTAAAGGGGCTTGCAAACTTTGTGCGGTGGTGTGCACAGACGCCGGGGTTGTCATGAAACGGTCCAAATCTCTCGCTGCACTGCTGTACACTTGATACCTTTTACCAAGTCAAAACAGGCACAGGTCTTCCAGCCAGCCGAAACGGCACTTGGGCTCTGGGTGTTAGGTTCCACCACAATCAGTCATTCACCTCATAGTCTCCTTCTAGCGCAGGTTGGTTATACCTTTAGGTTAAACAAGCTGCCTGTAGTTTCTCTTCTCTTTAAAGTGTGTGGGTCCTACTCTGCTCTGGCTACCCAGGACTGTCTCTGTTTTTGCAGACGTGCCCATTAGCAGGGCTCCTCCTCTCGCGAGCCTCGGTTTCCACTGAGTTGTGTCAGTTCCCTGGTTTGTAAAGCAACGTGCAGACCTGCAGGGACTCAGCCTGCCTTTTTGTTCTTTTTTCGTTTGAGTTTTAGATTGAGGGATGTTGCTCGGTTCCTGGTGATAATCCCCATCCCTCATTTCCTTTCCAGGAGACAAAAAGTTGCAGAGGGAAAAGTCAGAAAAGAATGTGGAAAATCAAGAGGACATGAGGGGACCGCTCCAGCTCGCCACCTTAAAGCAAGGAAAGAGCCCCTACAAGCGCAGTTATGACGAGGGGGAATCTCACCCCCAAACAAAGAAAAAAAAGATTGACCTCATCTTCAAAGATGTCCTGGAGGCTTCCTTGGAGTCTGCCAAATTTGAAGAGAACCAGTTAGCAACGAGTACGCCGTTTTCCATCAGAAAAGCTTCTAAATACCAGGCTGAAGACATCTTTGAGAGGTGTGGCGGTGCCATGCAGCACAGCTCTCTGAATCTCAGCAGAAACCGGAGCGAGGGGGAATGGAAAGTCCCCCACAGTTCCTCTTTCAGCTCAGCCAAAGAGATTGGCATCCTTGAAGATGAGGAAGAAGAGCCCCTGTCACTCAAAGCAGACAGCCCGCCCGAGCTATCACTGGCCTCTGCACAAGGCAACTCCCACGAAATCCCCACCACCTCCTTCTGCCCCAACTGCATCCGGCTGAAGAAGAAGATCCGGGAGCTGCAGGCCGAGTTAGACATGCTGAGATCTGGGAAGTTACCCGAGCCACCTGTGCTACCGCCCCAGGTACCCGAGCTCCAAGAGTTCTCAGACCCCACAGGTAAGCCTTGCCGAGTAACAGCGTTCTCCAAACTCTGCCTAAGGAGAGTAGTGAGATGCCTGTGTGCTGTGTACCCATCTAAGGCGTTTTGTTCTGAGTATTCAGGTGAACATGTGGCTCCATGGAAGGTTCTTTGTCAGGTTTTGTGACTGGGTGGGCCAGGAGCTGACACAGCTGTGGGCACAGTGGAAAACACTGTCTGGGAAAGACTCTGTATGACAACTTGCTCTATTTGTTGCTGTTGTAATTGATAATGCACTGCCAATAAAAAAGACATTCCATTGCAGACAGTTTGTTTGCTGTATTTTTGATGCATTCTCTTTCAGCGGAAGCCCCTCCGCAGTGCCTCATGTGCTACCAAGAAAGTCTGAATGACTGTGGTAACACTGAAATGTGTGCTCTTTATGTGTGAAATGATGTCCCACTGTGTCCCTTGTTGGAAAGCCCTCTCTGTTTCCTCCACTGCCTTAACACAACCCTGTGTCCCTTTCTGAAAATACATTTCATTTCCTCCAGGAACATGCTGTCGAGGAGCCTTATCGTAGGGAATATTTGGGTCACACCATGTATTGTGCAGGTGCCCGGGATGTAGCGTCCTTTCTTGCTCCCCGTTGTGGCAAGTTGGAGACAGTGTTCATATGCAATGTTCATATGTTCATATGTTGATTTATTTTCCCTTCAAAGCCATGATTCGTATTCTACCCATAGTGCGCTGTGGTCAGGAGAGGGCAGGTTGTGGCCAGCTCGTCAGGCAGTGCTCCACTGTCACCAGTAGGATTCTTCTCTAGGTCAGCAACTTTGCAAATACTATATTTTTTTCCTTTTTTTTCTTACAGCTTCAGAAAGCATCATCTCTGTTCCCACCATGATGGAGGATGATGACCAAGAGGTGGATTCTGCCGATGAATCAGTTTCCAATGACATGATTGCTGCTACAGATGAGCCTTCCAAGATGTCTTCTGCGACGGGCCGGAGGATACGGCGGTTCAAGCAAGAGTGGCTTAAAAAGTTTTGGTTTCTGCGGTACTCCCCAACACTGAATGAAATGTGGTGCCATGTCTGTAGGCAGTACACAGTGCAATCCTCTCGGACTTCAGCCTTCATCATTGGCTCAAAGCAGTTCAAAATACACACGATAAAGCTTCACAGCCAGAGCAACCTCCACAAGAAGTGCCTGCAGCTTTACAAGCTTAGGATGCACCCAGAGAAGACAGAAGAGATGTGCCGAAATATGACCCTGCTCTTCAATACAGCCTACCACTTGGCCCTGGAGGGCAGGCCCTACTACGACTTTCGGCCTCTGGCAGAACTACTGAGAAAGTGTGAACTCAAGGTGGTGGATCAGTACATGAACGAGGGAGACTGCCAAATCTTAATCCACCATATCGCCCGGGCTCTTCGAGAGGACCTGGTTGAACGCATCCGACAGTCTCCCTTCCTCAGCATCATTCTGGACGGGCAGAGCGACGACTTGCTGGCAGACACGGTTGCGGTTTATGTGCAGTACACGAGCAGCGATGGGCCTCCGGCAACCGAATTCCTGTCTCTTCAGGAACTGGGCTTTTCTACAACAGACAGTTACCTCCAAGCATTAGACAGGGCTTTTTCCAGCCTGGGAATACGATTGCAGGATGAGAAGCCAACTATTGGCTTAGGAGTTGATGGTGCTAACATTACCGCCAGCCTGAGAGCCAACTTGTTCATGACAATCAGAAAGACCTTGCCCTGGCTTCTTTGCCTGCCCTTTATGGTGCACAGGCCTCACTTGGAAATTTTGGATGCAATCAGTGGGAAGGAGCTTCCGTGCTTGGAGGAGCTAGAAAACAATTTGAAGCAACTGCTCAGTTTCTATCGTTACTCTCCCCGACTCATGTGCGAGTTGAGGGTCACTGCTGCCACGCTGTGTGAGGAGACGGAGTTCTTGGGGGACATTCGAGCAGTGAAGTGGATCATTGGGGAGCAGAATGTGCTCAATGCTCTAATCAAGGATTACCTTGAGGTTGTAGCCCATCTCAAAGATGTCAGCGGCCAGACCCAAAGGGCGGATGCTTCTGCCATTGCCTTGGCCCTCCTGCAGTTCCTGATGGACTACCAGTCTATTAAACTCATCTACTTCCTGCTGGATGTGATTGCTGTGCTTTCACGCCTCGCCTACGTCTTCCAAGGGGAGTACCTTCTTGTGTCGCAGGTGGACGATAAAATAGAGGAGGCCATCCAGGAGATCAGCCGGCTAGCAGATTCACCCGGGGAATACTTGCAGGAGTTTGAGGAAAACTTCCGTGAAAGCTTTAATGGCATTGCTGTGAAAAACCTTCGGGTGGCTGAAGCCAAATTCCAGTCGATCAGAGAAAAGATCTGCCAGAAGACCCAGGTGATCCTAGCCCAAAGGTTTGATTCCCGTAGCCGGACATTTGTGAAGGCCTGTCAGGTATTTGACCTTGCAGCTTGGCCCAGAAGCACTGATGAGCTCATGAGCTATGGGAAAGAGGATATGGTACAAATATTTGAACACCTGGAGACGGTCCCATCATTTTCCAGAGAGGTTTGCAGAGAGGGCATGGACACCCGAGGGAGTCTGCTGATGGAGTGGCGAGAACTTAAGGTGGATTATTATACCAAAAATGGTTTTAAAGACTTGCTCAGTCACATTTGTAAATACAAACAGAGATTCCCCCTCTTAAATAAAATAGTTCAGATCCTCAAAGTCCTTCCCACCTCATCGGCCTGCTGTGAGAAGGGGCGCAACGCCCTGCAGAGAGTGCGCAAAAACAACCGCTCTCGGCTCACACTGGAGCAGCTCAGTGATCTTTTGACGATTGCTGTTAACGGGCCGCCCATTGCCAACTTCGATTGCAAAAGGGCACTAGATAGTTGGTTCGAGGAGAAGTCGGGCAATAGTTACGCGCTGTCAGCCGAAATGCTGAGCAGGATGTCGTCTCTTGATCAGAAGCCGATGTTGCAGAGCATGGACCATGGCTCTGAGTTTTACCCCGATATTTAGGAAGGAATGCCTCAGATCAGAAAGCTGTTGAATAATTTTTGTAATCTATACTCTAAACTTTGATATATTATATAAAATATATATATATATTATATATATTAAGGAAAAACCCACACTGAAAATTTAAAAGTTAAGACGATGTGCGTCTGATAGAAGCTAAGCAGAATTTTAAAGATTGAGACAATGTTTAGACATTTACTGGTGTCTCCAACCATGGCAGCTGCAGTGTAGGTGGCAACATTTCATTCTTTAGAAGCATGTGCTGGGGCCATACTCTACATGTTCAAACCTAATGATCTATAAGCTAGACAACGGGTCTTTGTCAGCCTCATTCTCCCGGCAGTTTCCTTTGTATGTGTGTTGTCAGTTTGTTGGGTTGGTTTTTGTGTTGTTTTGGTTTGGGTTTGTTTGTTTGTTTGTTTGTTTTTTTCCCCTTGGTTTTAATCTCTGCCTCTCTTTCTGTTGTTCAGTCCAGTTATTGAGCCATTTGAGCCTTTTGTTGACGACCGTCAGATTTCTGATTTCCGATAGAGCATCCCGTGCGTTTATGTTGCCCCCAGCTCTCCAGCTCCACCCAGTTCTCTTCACTTGAGTGGGAGCTTTCTTCACTCGCAGAGATTACTGGCAGGAGAGAAAGGCTGGGGACATGGGTTTAGGTTTTTCTTCTGTTTTAGAAACAAATGCCTCCACTAAACTGTGATGCCCCTTTCTCAGCTCTCCCTACTTTTGGGCTGTAGAGTAATACTTGGCTTTCAGCTCCTTTTATGATAAACGTAGTACCAGTCTATCATACATATATTATAACATGATGTCATGTGCAGACTATAAAATAGCAAAATAGAGAAGGCAGGGGGAAATTTTTGCATTTATATTTTTATATTGTAGGAGATAAAAATATATATATATACAACTATTCATTCAAAACCAGGGCTGCTGTGGAAGCTAGACAGCCAATGAGTCAAGAGCCATCTCTGGGCGGAGATTCAAAGGCTTAAAAAGTTATATTCTAATTTACATTATTTATACTATGTCTTTATAATCCTAGATTGTTGTGGGTTTTTTGTTTTGTTTTGTTTTGTTTTGTTTGGAATGACTGAAAGAAAAACCTGCTGCAGTTTGGTGGCAGGAGCTATCAATGCAAGATTATCTTGGATTATATTCATGTGATGATGTTGTACAAAGGTTCACGTATTCTCTTGTGACCAAGGTAACATGTTCCACAGCACAGCAGACTGATGACAGCAGGAAGAAGGGATTCTCTGCTTCTTCCTGCAAAATATTTCTTCCTTTCTTGAAGGGATGCGGAGTCCAGCTGAAATGTGATTGGGGGACTTGCACCTTCCATCACAAAGAGATTGTTCTGTGGGCTTGGGGTTCTTCTTTGTTTTATTCTTTTAAAGTAAACGAGCTCCAGGCATTCACACAATATCACTTCAGGTTAGAAAAGAAAAAAAAAAAAAAAAAAAAAGCAAAAAAAAAAGCAAACAAAAAACCACACAAATGTAAAAGGTGCAAAAACTCCACAGATGCTAGTGCCTTGCCCCGCTGATGTGGCATGGACAGCACCAACCTGACCAGACCATCGTGGGGGTGAGAACCTGTTGTCCAGAAGGTGTCCGAGCTGACATGTTCTCACTTCCCAGAGGGACGAGCTTTGTGCCAAGCTGTGTTGTTTGGAAACATGATGGTGGTATCAGCAACACTGAACCTTTCCTTTCTCCTGTTACCCCCCTGCCCTTGGTCTTGGTGCTAAGATATCTCTAGAACCGTTGCTGCTAGTTGATAGCTTTTCATTTATATAAATATATATATATATATATAATATTATTTTATTTTTTAAACTTTTTTGTTCGTTTTCAATGGAGATGTAGCATGTTTGGAACCGATCTCTCTCGGAGTCACTTTCACTGCCAGGGTTCACGCACTGTCTTCCCTAGGAAAACACGCACTTCTACCCAGGTCTCGCTCACCTCCTGCTAACCCCTTTGCCCTCAGCAGAGCTACACGGCCAGTGCCGGGCAGAGGTGTGCAGCCAAGCCGCTCCCTGCTGCCTCACCTTTCGGACCCCGTGGGAACAGCTAGGCATGCGTCGGTCAGAGTTTCAGAAGTGTTTCCCCGCTGTCCCTACGGGACTGAGAACGGACTGAGCCAGCCCGAAGCACTCGCGGTGCCCAGTCCTTGCGTCCTGACTCTGCCCCTTTTGCCGTAGAACAGGGCTCTTCGGCCAGGTGGCCCGAGGGGAGCAGAGTGGACCCTGCGAATGTAGTGGCGAGGGCTGGGCAGGCGGCGTACCCTCCATAGCACTTACTCCATGTCCCCTCTGCCTTAACTCAGGTGGCTTGTGCGGCCTGTGGGCTGGCTCGGGCAGGAGCAGGCACCTGCACCGGGGTGAGGAGATCAGCTTTTCCCGGCAGTCCTCACGGGAGTGTTGTGAGCTAGGTCAGGGCATCGCGCCGCCGCAGTGCAGGAGCATCAGTACACAACACCTAGCAAGCAAAAAAATGGCTTTGTTAGCATTTTTTCCTGTCTTTCCCAATAAGTGATGTGATCAAATTGACCCATTCATCTAGATGAGTGAAAATTAAACTGGGAACTGTCTGCCAGCTTGGGCGGTTATTTGCCAGACTGTAAAACAGGGATCTCTCCCACGAGGGGCTTGTAGCCCTCCAGGCCCAGCGAGTCAGCTCTGCTCGGGGTGCTGCCACAGAGCTCACAGAGCTGCTCCCTGGCAGGCTCCCTCCTTAGGTAAAATCCCAGGAGTTGTAAAAAGAAGAGAAAAGAGAGATTAATTGCTGCTCCGTTAGTCTCTGGCCTGGAGAAGGGCAAGGTGAATGTAGATGTTGGAGACAAGAAGTGAATTGATGCACCGGAGGGGAATGGGCAGGTGGGGTAGAGTCTTCCTTGCCGAGTGTGCACATGGCAGCAGACACAAAAGTTACATAGTTGATGCAAGCTGCTGTGGCTGTTGGAGAGTCTGTAAAGACAGTTTCGCTCCTCCCCTTTTTTTTTTTTTAATTTTCCATTGCTCAACTCTATAGGTCTTTGTGGGGGAAAAATAAGTCACCTGCCTTTCTGTTTGCAGCAGTGAAAGCTCCTCGGTACGTGTCTCTGTCACAGAGGCCCGTCAAAGTGCCTGGCCTATGTGGAGGGAAGGTACATTTGTGTACAGTCTCCCGACACCTTTGCAGACAGGAGCACTCTCCCAGGGCTTGTGGTGAGCCGCCCAAGAGGTCTGTTTACAGCTCCTGCTCTGAGCCTCTTTATTTTTGCCACTGGGGAGAAAACAGTGCCTTGCCTTGTCGGCGAGGTGTGAGCTGCCAGAGGCTTGTTCAGAAACAATTCCTCTAATATGTCACTCCTTTCCTTTGGTTCATTTACAAATCTCTCTTTCATCAGTGACATCTTTCACCAACTGCCCTTACTCCTAATGGCAGAGCAAAACGTGCAGTGAGTGGTGGTTCTTCTCCAGGCAGCCATCTGGCATTGGGAAAGTGCTTGTTTCTTTTGCAAACTACTTTGCGTGCACCTGTGAGCTATGTCAGGAGGAAGCACGATTCCCTGCCACGGGATGTTGCAGATACCCGTGATGGGAAAGGTCAGAGACCCTTTCATTGGTGATGGGGGAAAAGAGTGCTTGGCGGAGCAGGTGGCCCAGCCCAGCCCAGCTCCCCTGACACAAACAATTCCCCCATCATCCCCACATCAGAAAATAAACCCAGCCTTTGTCCTAGGCTGATGCAGGTGCTTTGCAAGCTTTCCCTCTAGGTTTACCCGCCTATCTCAGATCTGTAGGTGTTACTCTCCCATGGATAGTCTGTGGATGGGAACGTGACTGCCGGCATGAGCAAGAGAGGGAGGAGGGAGGAATACCAATGCAAAGTGCCCCTGGCTTCCCAGTGCTCCGCCTGGCCAGCCTTTCTTTGGAGCAGATGCATTTCTGTGCCCTGTTTGCAAACCCTGGGGCTGGACAGGCAGCAACAAGGCTGGGGAGCAGTGACAGGCATGGGGAGGGCTCCCCCTTGGCTCTGAGATGGCCATGCGTTGGGTTTAATCCATGCCTTTCCTGCTGTGCTGAGCGAGCCAGTGAGAGTAACCTCCTCTCATGCTGTGAGATGTTGCTCAGCTCACAGCATCTTGAACTGCTTTGGCTGCAAAGAGAGAAGGGTTTCATTTGTCTCAAATGAGCTCTTTATTCTCTCCTTTCCCCCGCGTCTTAGGTATGGCATCTGACTGTGAATAATGCACACTTCTCCAGACCCTCGGGTTTGTGTTTCTAGCCCATGGGCTTTTAGGTTGCCAATTTCCCCTCTTCACTTTCTGCTCAGGCTCCTTGCCTCTTTTACCCTGCTGTGAAGCAGAAATCCATGAAGCACATGCAGACATCTCCTTCTGCAGGGCTCGCAAGCGGCCACAGGGGTCCGGGCCCTCCAGCCACAAGACTGAACTCAGCAGGGATAATCCTCACAAGAGACCAAAGCTCTTCCCATACCAGCAAAAGCACATGGGAGCCACAGGGTGTTGCAAGGGGATGCGGTGGGCAGGGTCCCGGTGTGTCATCTGCCTTGGGTCTTGAGCTGGCCGTGGCCACGTCCCCCGTGCTGGTTGTGCTTTTGCTGATACGGCTCCTCAGACATGATTCGGGCTCAGTCCATCTCTCACAGCACAAACTCAACCAAGGTGGCCTGCAGGGTCGTCAGGGTCCACGTTCTTTCTTATCTCATGAGGATTGCTGTTTGTTTGACCAGTGGGTAAGACAACCTAGACAGCCGGCTTGCAAATAAGCAGCAACAGCCTCTGCTTTTGCAGATTCCCCTCTCAGCCCTGTCAAAAGAGGTCTTAAAAGCAGAGAAACGGTACGTTGCTCCCCCAGCCATTGTATTCAATGCAGTAATGCCTATGCAATTCCTGTCTCCCTTGGAGACACGTATGATGTGTGTGCATGTAAGCTAGTGTATGTATACAGTACATATGCATATGGTCTATATATTGTATATACGCACATCCCAGTACATATACACACAATACAAAAGATTAAAATCACGTGCTTATATATCTATAAATAAAATCCTATATATTTATATATTTCTATGTTTTCGATAGATATAAAGATATAATATAGAGATAGACTCAACCACCCTTGTGTAAGGCTGGCCCTGTGTTCTGGCACAAGGCACGTAACACTGAAGACTTCGGACTTTGGGATCGTTTTAGCCATACACTGAGGCCTACATTTACATGTATAGCACTCTATGGAGAGGGGCTTTGCTGTGGTTAGGGCAAGGGGTTTCCTTGCTGGCATGTTAACCAAGTGCTAAATAAGGTTTGTGTAATAGGGGGATGTTTTGGTGGGGAGAATGCTCAAGTGTCCTTGTCTTCTCCCTAGTAAGCCTCTGGCTGAGGTCCTGTGTGTTCACACTTGGACAGATACATATCCCGCCCTCAGATGCACTTTTCTCTCTCTGCACGGATGTGGTTGGCAGCTGCAGGTACCGGTGCTGTGAAAACGTGGCTTTGCTCTTCCACCCGGTGTTCCTCGGCAGTCTCCGGCAGGCTGCCAGGGACACCCTGCTCGCGGGCACGGCTCAGCGACACAGCCGTGGCACTGGGGTAAAGGCAGCAGGAGAGCAAAGGCATTGCTGAGCGGAGGGAGGGTCGCTGCTGCGCAGTCAGAGGTGACAGGGACGGCGTATGGAGCTGGAGCAGCACGAATGAGAAGGGACCGCGATTTGGAGCGATAGGAATGGGAGCGTGCAAGCCCCGTTGGGGAGGCACGTGCAGCTCTGTTAGGCTGGCTGCTGCTCTGCTGCAGGGGCTGCTCTGCTCCCTCAAGTCTCGCAGCCGAGCAGTTTGCCTGGCCAGGGGCCCGGGTGGTTCTTCTGAAGGAAAGGGAATGATGTGATTGTTTGGAAGACGTGGTCCGTGGTGCGTGTGTGCCTTTGTGCCCCAACACACAGCGTGCTGACCTTGCCAGACTGAAGCACCGAAGGGTGCAACACTCTTGCCCAGCCTGTGCAAAGAGAAACCTGTTTTCACATGACAGGCAGTTCCTCACCAGGACTGGGGGTGGATCCAGGCAATGGATCTGCCTTCCCTGAGTTTCTGCCGATGCCTGTGGGATGAACAGCTGCCTTGTCCCTCCATCCCTCCCTTTGCATGGCCGCTTCTAGGACACTGACCCCACTGCAGAGTGAAGCCCTTGGCTGGTGCCTGGGGGGGGCCCCGAGAGGTGCCTCTGGCCAGGCTGGCAGTGGGTGGTGGGTCACCGTGCTGCTTCCCCACGAGGGTCAAAGGGAAGGTATGGAGGCTTGGCTTTGCAGCTTCACACCAGGCCTAGCAACCCCTTGCACTCCTCACCGTTTGTTGGTCAGGAGGAGGGTGAGCTGTAATTCCGACGGCTGAATGACTCGTTACACTGGTATTGCATGAGCAGATGCTGTGCAAGCTCCCCCCAAGCCCTGTCACACACCTCAGTGCCCTCTCCCAGGCCTCTCTCCTCCACACAACTGGTAATCCACCTCAGCTGCAACCCGCCCGCCGGAGCTCCCCGGCACATGTTCCTCACGAACCTCAAGAGACGGTTTCCTCACTCCCAGCTCCCCTCTTTCGATGCCACTGACACTCACGTAGGCTCAGCCCGCGGCCTCGCCGCCCGCCCGCCCGTGCCGGCGGTGCTGCCGCCCGGCGAGGGGCTCCCATGCACTGCACCTCATGTCAAATAAGCTTGCTGGGCTACGTGGGGGAATCCTGTCTCATATGCTGTAATGTTCCGAATACTATAGGAGGGCTATGGAGTTTTCCGCCAGTCATGGCATCCTCATAGACTCTCCCGACTGTTGGTAAAAATGCATTTCTACTTCCAGAAAACAAGAGGTTTTCTCTCAAACCTCTCCATATCCACATTGAAGCACAGCCCTGCTGAACTGTCGATCTCTCACCCACTCACCACACACACACACACACACACGCAATGAGAGAAAAATATCTAGATGTCTATTACTACATATGTATTAATATGTTAATATCACTCTTTTGGAGAACATTAAAATGTTATTACTTTACAGACTATGCTTTATAGTACCTGTGTGAAAGGACCTAGGACACTGGATACGAATAGAGCTATGTTGATATATCATAGTATGTACACGAGACCTTCCTTTTGTCATATTATCCTTGTAATGTAAAATGATTGTTAATAAAAAAACATTTAAATTTATCAAGTTGGGTTGCTAATTCTTTACATTTTTCTTGGAGGTTAACGTCATTTTCCCAGAGCGAGGGCATCTAAGCTGATGCACTCCCGCTTCCCCGGCCCACAACCGTAAGAAACAGGTCCAGTGCTAATTTATCCAGAAGGGTCAGTTGCAGCCCCCCAAGGTGCTGGTAGCTTTCCCCCTTGGATGACCCTCCTGGGCCCACAGTGGATTAACTAAAGGTTAACTGTTCTGAAACAGTTCAGTGGAATAAGAATAATTTTGTACGTGGAGGTTCTCACACCTGCTAAAGCAGAGAGCCAACCTCTGAAGCAAGTACGAGTGTCCATGGATTAGCACTGAGCTATGGGTTGTGTTTTCTGTCAGAGCTGAAAACAGTTTCATCTCCTTGGGTTCAGCCTAACTGCTGCTGAAGATAGGCCCTGCAGCAAGGGCACGGCAGGGACCCTAGGCCATCCTTCCCTCACCGCAGTTCAGGTTTGCACAGCAGTCCAAACAGGGAGGATGTTGCAAAGGTTTAGGCCAACCGTGCCACAGGGTGCCAACTGCAGCTAGAAGAAACCTAGGCAGAAAAGAAACCCATTCCAGCTCAAACAGTTGCGCTCTCAGCTGTAAATGTGTCTGTGTGTTAGTGGGGGGAACCAGAAAACACAGGTGGAAGCTGTGCAGCTGACTATGGATCCTGTACGTGGTGATTCACAGAAACAGACTCGGGGAGAGTTACACAGCAGGGATGTTTACTCCGGTGCCGGGGTGCAAGGGGATTTCTCCACAAAGCTTGCACCCCAACAGCACATTGTACCAAAAACTTACAGAGTGTGGATATACATATTCATTGGG